AGTATGATACGATTATCAGATTGACGGATGACTTTAGTGTCTAGAAATGGTACATTCGGTGGTACAATTAAATTCGTTTCCCAAAATACATACTTTTCCTTTAATAATAGCTTTTACCGCCAAATTTTTGGAACACCCATGGGCAGTCCTATCAGTCCCATATTAGCTCTCATTGTGCTTGACCATTTAATAGAAACAGTTGTCACAAAATTACCATTCAATCTACCTTTCTTGTACAAATACGTAGATGACATAATTTGCGCTGTTCCACAAGATCAAATACAGCAAACATTACATGTTTTTAACTCCTTCAATAAAAACATACAATTCACTGTTGAAATGGAGAAGGAAAATAGTGTAACATTTCTAGACACTGATCTACATATGATAACTCCAAAATGCATGTTTTTCAGTAGGGCAATTTTAACATTCGAAAAGCTTTCTTAAATCGAATGCAATAAAATAAAAAATTAAATATATACCATTTCTGTTTTTGATATAATGGCACATATATTTGTACCAAAAATTTAAAAAGTATTTTAATTTAGTTAACAGTCAAATAGGAGAGAACTTAAACTATTAATTATTGGTCAATTTCTTTTATTGGAAAACAGTGCTGTGGAAATATATGGCTTTACTTGTACCAAACTAAAACTTATGCGTCGAAATTTTCATCACTTTCGCTTGTATATTGTGTGGTACTAGTTTGAGTGTGTTTAAGCGATTGGTAAAATCTATAATAGATTTGATCTATACATCGTAGGTAAGTCTAGACAAGAATATCTTAATATTTTAAATAGTCTATGGGGAGAGGATCATTATACGCTGAAAGTATCTATATATTAGACATGGAAGTTGACCTGCCTCTCCTTAGCATGGGCATTGAACGAAACGGTTCATTGGGATCTTATGTGTATTTGAAGCCCAAATCTCTATCCTTTTTGTAAAGTAGCCAAAATATGCTGTTCCAAACAAAAGGGTTTTTATAATTATAAACATTTCTTTTTATAAAATGCGTTGTTAGAAGTTTGGAAAATCCGAAAAAGTCAGTGTGTTTTCTAAATTCTACGTCAAAACGAAGGCTTGCCATTTTAATTACAGATACTCAGTCCTATGGAACTGAAATTGTAGCGTTTCTTTTTTCACAGATCTCTGTATGCTAGTATCACATTCTAAATGATCTGTATCACATTCTAAATAAGTATAACCCAGGACTTAGGAACTTATGATGAATATCCTTCAGAGTTTCCTTTTCTTCAAGTGTTCTTAAAAACATCGGTAATATGTTATTTCGGTTTTGACCTGGGCACGTGTTAGAATGTGAATCAGAAGCAGAAGGTGACGAGTTTGAATTGAGTGTGCGAAATTGGGTAATTGTAAGCTTTATCTCCGAAAGAAACTTAGTCCGTCTTTAAGTAGGACAGACAGATAACGGGAAGAAAGAACGAGGATTTTAAAATCAAATTTGCCCAAAAAAGAGATGACAAAACCTTTAAGTGGCCAGAAAAAGAAGACATGGGTGAAGTCGCACGTGACCAAATTTTAAAAAAATTACCAAGCCCGACTTTTAGGAGGTACAGTAAGCGCGTATAGGATGTTTTATCTTTCCTAAATCACTGAGAATGTTCAATAATCAACAATAAATTTTTTTCACTTTTATAACTTTTTAAATATAATTTTGTGCCAGAAAGTGTTTCTATTTTTAATAATAATATTTTTGTTATGTCATGACAATTACTTTACTGAGTAAAGTTAGTTTTCAGCATCCAATTTTTGGTTTTATTTTATTATTGTAAATCTGGGAAGATATAATCAAGTCACACATACACAAGAATCAAGTCTCCCGAAGTACGGGGAGACATGATTAGTTTTTCTCTATTACTAGATTCTACAAAAACTCGTTATTTATTAGCAGTATATTTTTCGGGTGTATAACACCCATGATAAATTTGTAATGTTCCACTAAATTATCAAGGTTCTAGATCGGATATAAAAAAAGTTATCTGAAAAAATGTAACGACGGGATCAAGTCTCCCTCTTCTCCCCAAATGAATTACTTTTACTATTCAAAAAGTAGACTTGTACAAAAAATATAGTTCTGCCCGTTCTTATGACGCTATGCTATGGATAACAGAAGAAGTTTTAGGAATAAAAGTTTGGTAAACCTTTTTATAAATTAATTTTAATTTGCATTACTTTCCTCAAATGTCACCGCACGCTACTGGTTAATGCTGATGTAAAAATGAAAAAAGACACATTGTATGTTCATGTTGGTTTAAAAATCCATAAAAAGGTAAAGTAAAAAATAAGATAAATAAAACACTATATTTAAAATTATTTACATATCACACGGACATACAAGCTTACAAGAAAACAGTTTAAAAACAATAAATTATATAAAACATTTGCGCTTAAAACAAAATAATACTAAAGGGGTAACAACCACTTTACACAACTATTAAAAATAGTACAAGCACATTTTTTAAGGTGCTGATGATTTGCAGTGGTTCGTGTATGCTAAAACTACTTTTTTTTGTTTTTCACTCCTCAAAACGACAAGGACAAGATATAGTCTTAATTTTTATAAACAGTATTTTTTATATTGCGGATTCTGACCTAAAAAATCAATAAAACCCTTTGCAATGAGGTGATAGAACTTTCCTCCAGTGTATATACTACAAATAACTCTGCTTGCCTCATCTAAAATAAAACTCCACACATATTTTTGGATGTCAAAGCTGCATATAACTCAGTAAATAAACGTAAATTGCTACAGGCATTGTTCAACTCACAGATTTGCGCGGGAAAAGTAATTCGAGATTCTCTTATGCAACGGTCGTTTCTATGTTTTCTCAAAATAATCATCCAGTCGTTTATACTTTGTGTATTATTAAAGATTTTATTTGGAATTCACCACAATTCTGTTTTGTGGAATTATAAAATTAAGGATCCCATAAATATTGTCACGCTGCAGATTTAAACTAGATAACTCGGAAGTAAAGTACAAAAAAGGAAAAGAAAATGATTTTCTGCAATAAAATGCTGCAAGATATTAAAAACGACGAAAGACAAATTGTATGCATAAAAATACCACAGCCAGAATCAATACGGTATCACAAAAACATTTAAGAAAACAATTTTACTGTCGTAATCTTTCAAAATGTATCGACCAAGTGAGTCTAAAAAATCACACTTCCTTTTAAACCTCCACAATTAGGACATTTACTGGAACAAAAACGATTTGACACTTAAATATAGATTTTATTGAAATATCTACTTGACAATTATACTCATTTTCAAGATATGTAGAATGCTACAAAACTTCACTATCAATATTTAGGGAATAAGGCATATGCCTTCTAACATCGGAATTATCCCTAAGAAAATTGTAGGCGATAAAGGTTCAGCATTTAATACCGGCACACTCAAAGAATCGATGAATCTACACAACACTGAAATCCACTTCACTACAGTAAATAATTCCCCTTCTAAATCCTTGTAGAACACTCTACTGTCATTGAAAACCAGAACTTACAGAAACAGGGAGCAGAGCCAGTATATATTTTTACTCACACTATCTACATCAATTCATGGAGCTACAAATTATTCTCCCTTTTTAATTCTAAATGGACCTTTACGTCGAAGAAATAAACCTTTCATTTCTATGTCCCTGTATACGAAACATAACCAACAACAAAGATGAGCTTCAAATTGTTGAATTAACAAACGAATTCATTATATAATAAACAAAAAAAGAACATATTGTAGTCCCATTGATGATCAATTTACTAAAATTTTAAAATAAAAATTATTGTGTGAGTACTTGAACACATAAAATATCATTTTTATTACATCAACTGGTTTAATCCAAATACTAATAAATTTTTCCTTTCTTTTGTCATAAGATCCCTACGTTCACTTTATTGATAACGTTACAATTTGAAAACCACATCAATTTTATATCTAAAAATCACTAAATTTCCAAATAAAATAAAAGGTGGTATTATACCGGGTGGTGAATCGTCAAACGGACCATAGGAAACTCAATGAGAAATTTTAAATTGTTGAATTGCTGCTTCCCTAATTATTTTAGATCAAAAGTCATAAAAAACTATTTGTAGAGGACTAAAATCTGAATTAAAAACAAATGTTAAAACCGTTCTACGACTCAAATGTACTTAAAAATTTTGCAAAAATATAATACATTTTTCAGGCCACCCCTAAAAGTTAGGCCACACGCAATGCAAGAATATATATTAGGACGTTTGTGTTTTATCATATTTATGTCAGATGTTTGACAATTTGAATTGTCAATTTTTTTATTTTATGATTAAATTATAAACAATGAATTTTACTAAATACTACTACTAATGAACATTATTACTTTGTGAACAATAAATTATATTGTTTACAAATCGACCAATATAATGAAATGTACTCAGTTGACGAAAAATCGCATAATGTTGTATTGAGGCAATAGCGCGAACCTTTTCCTGCCACTACCGGATCTTTATTTAACGTAAGATATTCTAATTCACTAAAATTTAATTCCATGTTAAGTTAAGTTATACAACAATTCAATGAATTCCAATATACTGTTACTGTGATCTTTATTCCTAATAATAATATATGATAATTTCTAAACATAAAACTATAACAAATGTTATAATAAAACATGAATAAAACATTTTTATTATTGCTTTTTTCTTCTCAACTGAGTACATTTTTTAATCAACTTAATTTTTTTTTAACAATAAATCACAAAATTTTGGCCATTTAAATCATAGATAAATGTAATATAATTGATTTAAATATTGTCAAATATCAGAAACAATATTATGACAAAACGCAACACGTAATACACATTTTTTCACAGAAAAATGTATTATATTTTAGCAAAATTTTGGAATACGTCTAAGTCGTAGAATAATTTTAACAGTTGTTTTCGATACATGAGTCCTCTACAAATAGTTTACCATGACTTTTGGTGTAAAATAATTAGGGAAGCAGGAATTCAACAATTTAGAATTTCCCATTGAGTTTCCTATGGCCCGTTTGACGATTCACCACCCTGTATAAATACTACAGAAAATTTTGTTTTGATTACTTTTTGTGGGCCGATCCCGGCGGTACTGCAATACCGGGCCAACCCGTGATAGAAGTGGAGCAAGCCCCTTAACCTTCCATCTAATTCCAAAAATCAGTTTAATATACTGGCCCCGCATGCGGGGCGTATCAGATATTAAGCTGATAAGAACAGATACTACACTTTGATCTTAGCCAGAGGCCGAGAAGCGATAACAAAAAAATTCCAGTTCAGGCTATAGCCCAACAATTTGCAACCTTGCATCGACACGCTGACAGTAGCGCCATCTATGATAAAGACTTCAAACTACATACTAAAGAACAGTAAAAACAAGGTGATTTGGAAATCCATTTACACAAAACAGACAGTTTAAATTATAGTTTTGTCAGAGAACATACGAACGTTTAGTGTTGATACTAGATATTACTACGAAGTCATGCTTGATTTACAACTAACACAGTTTGATATAAACGATTGTTTCCCTGATGCATTGTTTTTTAAAGGAACCTGTAACCAGGAATAAAGAACGAATCCAAAAGCAACCATAAATAATAAAACTTCAGCTGAGTAAATGAAAACTGTGCCAATTCAATTAGAATAGATATATTCTATCAATCAACTTAATAACCAATCACAAATTTGTTCAGTGCCGATTTGCCCATAAAAGAATAATAATTGTGATACATTTTTGTTTTTTAACTGTAGGTTATGCAACCAACATATCATTAAATACATTTCAGAATCTTAGAAGCCATTTTATATTCACATTGTTATTGATAACTCTCTCGGTCCTGTGTCGTTTTAGGAAGAAAAATAATAGCGAAATCACAGTCTAGTATATGTAATAAAAATATTTCCTTAGATTAGACCTTATTATCTGGAACTTCCGATAATTTTCGAGATCTAATAGATGCTCTGTTCAACATGCTGGATCTTGCTTCACCTCTGAACGAAGCTCTGGTAGATCTTCTAGACAGTCTTACTGAAGTTGCTCTATAAAACTCTTCGATAGGTTCTTCTGCGTCTCTCGGCCTAAGGAAAATTATTAAAAAAACATAAGAAAACAAAAACTTTGTAAAGTACACATCTAATACACGTCTTCTCCCTAAAAAGGAGGAAGACTTTAGATGTGTATAGATTAAGATGTAACTATAGTATGAATCGTACGTACTTTATGCACGGGAAGTCCCACATCTTTTGACCTAATCCAAAGTTTTCTCCGTCTTGTAATGTCTGTGGTAGTTCTTGATCTAGAGTTTCTGGTAAGAATAGTGCTAACAGTCCTCCCAAGATACCCAACACTCCGAGAATCAAAAGAGGTAAGGATGTGGATACATTTGCCTGAAAAATAAAGACGATAGTTATTTATACCTTTTTTTGACACATTTTCTAGAATTATCTCGTATACATTGAATAATACGTCCAGAATAGATATGCTTCTGAAATTTGTCTCTAGGTCTTTAGGAATACCGTTGCAGTATGGAATAGTGTTACTTCGGCTTCTGGTATGTATTTTATCATTTCCGATTCAATATTATCTGAGCCTGCGGCTTTTTCCTTTTTTAATCTGCTTAATCCCTCAGTGACTTCTTCTAATGATATTTTATATCTTGAACATTTTTTAATATTTATACTAGACTCAAGATTGGTTTGTTTTCGCTTTTAAATATATTTGTCCCCCGTATTTAGAACTCCTTTGAAGTATTCGCACCACTTTTCCATTATATGCTCTTCTGTGACTAGTAGTTTGCCGATTTCATCTTTAATAAATCTTCTAGAATATTCTATACCTTTTCTTAAATTTATAAGTGTTCTATGTAGTAGTTTACTATTTCCTCTATTTGTCTCTTTAATTACTATTCTGTGCTTTTTATACTCCTCTTTTTATTACCATTATTTCTTTGCTACAGATGTTTTCCAGAGCTTGCTGTGGATGCATGCTATGTATTTTTTATTATTAGTATCTGCAGATCCACAAATGCCTCTAGCTACTTACTACACTGTTTTTTGATCAGTTCCCATATACTTCCGATATCTGTATATTATCTCTTTCTATATATTCCCATTGTTAGATTTTTATATACTACTTTAATGACCTGATTATTGAGTTATGAGGAAGTTGAACAAATGAATAATTTGTACTATGACAATACTTACCAAATATACAACAAACGGAGCTATAATACTGGCAACATATCCCATGATATGAATGAGGGCGACCCCTTGTGCTCTGACTACAGTTGGTAGGATCTCAGCTGCGTATTGGAGTCCAATGTTGTATGATATGTTGATAGCAAATCTGCCCATGATGGCTAATGTCGCAGATGGAATACCTACAACAAAAAATGTGTTTAAACGAAAGAATTCCAAAAAGTTGGCCATTGTGTAATCTAAGGAGAGATGTTGCTACAGTTATTTCAACAACTACAACTAAATTACCTAATTATTTTATTTGAAGCCCTATTTGAATTAATTGAGATGCCCGCATGAATTCGCTTTAGCCATTTTATCGCTTGCCTAAAGGTTACTCCAATTTGACGGGATTTGTTAGCGTACCTAAAGGCAAATTTTTAAATTTTCTGTCATTTTTCTACGTATAAGTAGAACTGGTTTTACCAACATATCAAGGCTTCAGTTATATATTATATAATAAGTTTTCATTTACCTATCCTGTTTTCCTCTACCTATGTATTCCAGTCAGTATGTGAGAAAATCATTGATTTTTAAAACCCCAGAACTATAGCTCCAATCTGCTTCTATAAACCAAGAATTATCCTAGAAGCCATAGAAATTGAAAAAAGCCCAAATTGTCTCAATAAAAGAGATGACGGCATCCGGATACCTTCGACATGGAGACCTCTCATAAAGAAAATATCCATTTTTTGCGTTTATTAATCTATTCTTGATGATCTTTGTGAATATCTTATATATGATTGGTAGTAGACTTACAGGTATGTATTTTTGATATCCTCTTTGCTACCTTTCTTATGAATGAGAATTATGTTTGTTATATTCCAGTGGTCTGGTATGCATCTCTATAGGCAGGTTGTAAATATGCCTGCTAAGATTTTCCAGGGTTTATTGCCAGCGTATTTAAGCAGTTCCACTGTTATCCCATCTATTCCAGCTGCTTTACCGCTTTTCCTTTTTGTAATTATCGATTCTACTTCTTCCGGAAGGACTTATGGTATATCTTCTATATATATATATATATATATATATATATATATATATATATATATATATATATATTATATATATATATATCATCATCATCCAATCTTCGCTTATCCACTGCTGGACATAGATCTCCCTCATAATTTTCCATCTATTTCGATCTTGTGCCTCTTGCATCCAATTCCTATGACAACGTATGTTTCTATATAATATTAATAATAAATAAATATAAGCCCAGAAAAAATTCCTGAAACTTACCTAAAGGTACAGCAATAGCAAACAGTGTAAAGATACCACTGACGATCATAGATCCGGCAGCAAGCCATCTCCTTCCCCAAATGTCCAGAACAAACGTCAGAAACGTGTCAGCGGGAAATTCAGTGGCGGAGGCTATGGTGAAGGTTAAGAAGGTGTTTAGACCGAGCGTTTCCACATTTCTGACGTGTCCATCGAAGACCAAGGATATAGCCATCCACAGGACAACCAGAATCAAGGTGATTTTTCGTAGTCGTGGTGTTTTGAAAAGGTCTATGACGGTGTATTTTCTTTCCATATTTTCAGCTTGTTGGGCTTTTTCGCACGAAATCTATAAAGGTATAATAATTTACTATTATTATATAGGGTAAAACACCCAAACGTTGGCACTCGACCATCGATTGACATAGCACACTAACTTTTAAACTATATTAATAAAAACAATAAGTCAATTATCTGAAACAATTACATTACAAATCAGTGTGGCTTGTTGTACCAAAATGTTGTACCAAACAAGGTAAGATAAGATTTAAGTTTTTCGTAAGGATAGTGCAATGTTAACCTGTTTTGTAAATCAGGTTGATTTTTGTATTATACAACACAAACTTTTACACACATTAACGAACCTTATTGGTTTAATTTAGCATATCTTAATAAAAATGTCGATTCGCGTCAATTTAGAGGGTGCTAACATTTAGAAAGCACAATTTGACATAATCTAATTATTGGCATAGAATTGAAGTTATTTTTGTTATTCCTAATATTGGCACTTCAACGGTAAACGTTAATTACCGCATCTTTCGAGATTGATAATAATTGTGCGTGAAAAAAATAATAAATCATAGACTAAGTAGTCAAAAAATAGTTTTTTTCTTTTACTATTCTAGATGCCAAAAGTAAAGAAACATGCATAATATACAAAATCATACACTAAGGAATTGCTTCAGAAAGCATTAACTGATGTTAGGAATGGTGAACAGAAGAAGACCGTCGCTATGAAGTATAGCATTATAAGGCAAACACTTCAATATCGTTTGGGTCCTTAATTTTCAAAACCAGAACTTATATATACGTATAATACGTATCTAATAAGAGACAAAGAAAACAAACTGGTCGAATGTATTTTAGATAGCCATAAAATAGGCTTCCCACGAAGAAAGGTTGATATTCAGGCTCTGTAAAAAGCTTTTTGGCTGTAGATAATAGAACCACTCTATTTAAAAACAACATTCCAGGTGAACACTGGTATAACTTATTTCTAAAGAGTCATCCAATACTCACGGAATGGACACCTGAAAGAGTAGCTGCGGCTTCAGCAAATGTGTCAGAGGAAAATATACGAGGTTGGTTTTCCGAAATATCTATCTATCTTAAAGAAAAAACTTCTTTTCTTTTTTGAATGTCCCAAGCAGAATATGCAACGGCGATGAAACGTGTTTCCAGTTTTGTCCCAAAATGGGTAAAGTTATTGCACCAAAAGGTTCCCGCAATGTATACGAGGTTGACCAAGGAGAAGCTAAAAAAATTCTGACAGTAATGTTTACGTTTTCGGCCGAAAGCGATACCACTCCATCTTTAATAGTTTATCCAAACAAACGTCTGTCAAAAGCAGTTGTTAATAGTGTTCCAGACACATGGGGAATCGGATTAAGCGATAACGACTGGATAAAAACAGAAATTTTTATAGATTATAATACAAAATGTATTTCATCCATATTTTAAAAAAAATGTTGAATTTCCTGTTTCTCTCTTTGTGGACGGTCATACAACTCATCTTAACTATCAACTTAGTACCTACTCTTTGTACAAAGTTTGATATTGTTCTCATAGCTCTTTCCTAACCTAACCTAACCTAACTCTACCAGGATATTACAGCCTGCAGATGTCTTGAACTTTAGACCACTTAAGGCAATGTGGAAAAAATCGCTGTTAGATTGGCGTTGTAAAAATCCATTTTGTAAATTTTCCAAAGAACATTTTGCACAAATATGTACTATAAAAAGCTGTATATTCTTTAAAGCCTGAAGTTGCTACTAGCGGATTTAAAGCTTATGAATTATATCCGTGGAATCCAAATTCAATCGACTATGACAAATGTTTAAGCAAAAACTACCCAAAAATATCCGGTTCCAATGTTGCAAACACCGAGAAGCGTAAGACATAATAATAGGGTTTTAACTTATCAAAAATTTATTCAAATAGTTGGAATAAATAAGTCACCTGTAAGTCGCCAGCAGACTCGAAAGAAACAAATGTAAGAAACCAGATCGACTTCATTACCATACCAGAAAGATTCAGAAACTCGATCACATCAGTGAAAACCTATCCCGGGGCTAACGCTCAATCGGATCACAACCCAGTGGTGGGTAAACTGGGAATAAAACTGAAACGTATAGAAGGGAAGCCTAACAAAACCAAGATAAACATTAGGAAATTAAAGGATCCCAACATTAAACAACAAGTACAGGAATCCTTAAGAAGAAACATTGGAAACTTGAGTGAACCCGCACAAGACGCAGTTGCTAAATGGGAAGAAATAAAAAGAGCTGTTGAAATGACAAACAAGACACTTCTGTTACAGGAGCGCGTAAAGAAGAAAGAATTGATGACGGATTAAATCCTTGATATGATGGAAGAAAGAAGACAACACAAATGCAAAAATCAAGTGAAGTATCAAGAAACAAGTCACAATATAAAAACAAAGGTAAAGGAAGCGAAGGAACTCTGGCTGAAGGAGAAATGTGATGAAATCGAACAGTGCGACAGAAGATATGACTACAACAACATGCACAAAAAGATCAAAGAATTAACAACTAAAAATAAAACCAATAATCCCCACCCGACACTAATAGACGCAGACGGTAACCTTATATCAGACGACTTGAAGCTCATTGACACATGGAAAGATTACGTAGAACGACTTTTTAACGATAAACGCAGAGCGATAGTGGACCAAGATGACAACATGACTGGACCCGAAATACTAAGGTCTGAAGTGGAAAAAGCCATTTCATCGCTAAAAAACGACAAAACAACAGGTCTTGACAACATACAGGGCAAGATCATAAAACTCCTATGCGAAACGGATGACCACTTCCTCGATTTTCTGACAGCCCTTTTTAACACCTTTTACGACAAAGGAGAGATTTCGGAGGAATGGCTTCGATCGACCTTTGTAGCCATACCTAAAACACCAAGTGCAAAACACTGTGATCAACACCGCTTAATAAGCTTGATAAATCACATTACCAAAGTTTTCACCAAAATCATACACAATAGAATATATAACAAATGCGAAGCAAATATATCGGAGTCACAGTTCGGATTCCGAAGCGCATTGGGCACAAGAGAGGCGATCTTCAGTCTGCAAGTTTTAATTCAAAGATGCAGAGACATGCACAAGGACGTCCACTTGTGCTTCATCGACTTCTCCAAGTCGTTCGACAAGGTTAAACATGATAAACTCATGGAAATGCTCAGGAAGATGCATATTGATGGCAAGGATCTGCGCATAATAACCAGTCTCTATTGGAACCAAAGTTCTGAGATAAAGATGGGCAACTTACACAGTGGGAAGATAGATATTAAAAAGGGTGTACGACAGGGATGCGTTCTCTCGCCGCTCCTGTTCAATATATACTCTGAACAAATCTTCAGAGAAGCACTGAGAGAAGTTTCGGAGGGTATAAAAGTAAACGGAGAGATAATCAATAATATTAGATATGCTGACGACACAGTTATTATCGCAAATGACTGCAACGAGCTTCAAAGACTAATGCAAAGCATACAGACAGCAAGTCAAGAATATGGTTTAGAACTCAATACAACCAAAACGAAATGCATGCTTATCAGCAGAACACAACAACCTCCGATGCAATTGACATTAAACAACCGAAAAATAGAACAAGTGGACACATATACATACCTTGGAACCACAGTCAACACAAAATGGGACCAGTCAACAGAAATAAGATCACGAATTGAAAAAGCGCGAAACGCGTTCAAAAATATGAAAAAGTGGTTCACAAGCAAAATCTCAATGGAACTAAAATTCTGGTCAAGTGTTATGTCTTCCCGGTCTTGTTCTATGGAGCAGAGGCATGGACCACAACGGAAGCCACCCTGAAGAAACTAGAATCCTTTGAGCTGTGGATATATCGCCGTATTCTTCGGATATCCTGGACAGACCACATCACTAACGTGGAAGTAATGCAGAGAATAGGCAAAAGCAAAGAAATAATCTTCACCGTAAAGAAACGGAAGCTTGAGTACTTCGGACATGTCATGAGGCATACTAAGTACCGGCTGCTACAGTTAATAGTCCAAGGAAGAATCGACAGTAGGAGGGGACCAGGAGAAGACGACACTCATGGATGCATAACCTGTGACAATGGTTCGGACTAACATCGACCGAACTGTTCAGAGGTGCCGTAAACAAAGTCAAAATAGCCTTGTTAATAACCAACGTCAGAAACGGATAGGGCAAAGGAAGAAGAAATAAGTCATTAAACCTTGATGATTTTGGCGCCTTATTTACTGGATGTGATGAAAGCTGTGAAACTTTTCTATTATTACAAAAATTGACAACTTATTTTAAATTTGAAATGGAATCTGACACAAATAAATATACAATAGAGATACAAATGAAAGATCTAAATGAGTACATTACAACGATAAAATATTTTTAAACGAAGATAATACAGAAGATATAACTATTGTTTTTTGCGATAAACAACCCGCTGATGAGGGCAGTATTAGTACAAAAAAAATTGTTGTACTGCAAATTACAAATCTGACAGAGCCTTCTCCTTCGTCAGGTATATGCAAGACTAAATTAACCCAATTACCTGATACATCGCTAAATATTCAGCAAAAATTGGAATTTCAAGAAGAAGAATCCATAGAAGTTGATGACAGCGTAGCTTCTATTGGAACAAAGTGCCAACAGTATGTAAAACAAAACAATTCGATGGGGACACAAGAAGAAGGGAGAAGAGAAGAAGGGAGAATAAATAAAATAAAGAGAATAATAAAAACAAAAAACAATCAAATATCCTCATTAATTAATACATTTTTGATCTATCCGAAAACTACAGAATGAACGGGTATACAAGAAACTGGGAAAATTTCATTCGTGCTTACGCAACGGTTTATAAAAGGCAATTGGAACAAAAGGAAAGAATGAGAGAAGAAAAACAGAAAAAGAAAGCAGAGAATATACAAAGAAGATTAGAGAAGCAACAGATAAAGAAGGATAAAGAAACATTTCCAAAGAAGAAACCATGAAAAACCTTAAAAAACAAGGCAAATAGTAAAGATGTTCACAACCATTATTTAAATAAGTCTGTCATACCTCATAAAACGCTCAGTCTCAATGTCAATCTGGTTGCAGTCCTAGAAGCTGTGGTACTAGCAACAATAACCATGACTTACAAAATTCAACAGACTTAAATTTTTGCAGATCGCAAGTATCAGACGCTGTTACTCCAAATCTAAAAACTAAAGTCTCCCATAAAAAAATCTTTCTTAAGAAAGTCCAGAACGGCCGTCACCACAATCTTTACCAGAAAACAATACGATTGTTCCACGAGGACTATGTTTTATTTGTACGCACAATATTTACAGGACAAACATAGGAATAAAATATCAGAACTGGACTAGGACTTATCATGTTAGCTGCTTAAATAAAAATTGAGCACTTGATTATTTTAGAGGTAATTTTATTAATACGATCTCCTTAGAGTGCCAATCATTGGGTAGTTTACCCTATACAAAATAATAATATACAAAAGTATTTCAATGAAATAGATTTTCAGCCACCCCAAAAACCTCCCGAGTAACGAGTTTGCACTGATGTGTCGAATTTTAATAAAACTCCTATAGACAAGGTCCATCCTAGGCACCAAGTGCTTTGAACGCCATCGCCGTCATGATATTCGTGTTCGGCGACCCCAAAAACCCCCCGAGTAATAATATTAAACTCATTTCCGCCAATTATTTTCGAAAGTGCATTTTCCTTGTTCAATAATGCAATTTTCTTTGGACATCATCACTTTAGCTCACAAAATTTCCTAACGCTCTGACGAATCGAATGCAACAAGTTTCATTGAGATATAGCCAACTGCAAAAAATTGGTAGGTTTATTTCTTCATTACCTCGCCTATCTGGCGAAGATCATTAATAGTACGTGAATAAAAGAGAACAAGGTATCAAGACATTGAATAATGTCATACATAAACCTAATTTATAAATAGTAAAACGGGAATGAGTATCAAACAGCAATTAACACCTCGTGCAGATTGTACAAATGAATTCATTTCCATTGACAGTATAACATTTCTTAAACTTTGGTCTAAAGACTCTTAATTAACAAACTGACTAGTTTTACGATAGAATAATTTCATACTTACACGAAATTGTTCATACATTTTCTCACTAATATGAGTTTTATTCACTTTCTCGAATTTTTTTAGTATGTCTATGGCCTTTTTCGTCTGCCCTTGCGATACCAACCATCTAAAAATAAAAGAAGACTCTTAGTAATTGAAACAAAAAAATATGGAAGTATTTGTAAGATTAAAAAATCTTGGGATTGAAAAGCCTATTATTTGCTGCTTCTTCTATTTCTTCTTCTTTTTTTGTAGAAATGACTCTGTCTGTTTTTCAATGTGCCTCCAGTAAATTGTTGTTCCATCGTCTTCGTGGTGAAACGATCTTTCTACGGAGAAACCGTCTATTGCCGTTTTTACTACTCTATTTGTTGTCATGCAGCATATATGATTGTTCCATTCTAATCTTCTATTTCTTACCCAGTTCTTGATGTTCTCTACCTTGCATCTACGTCGTATATCTGTACATCTCTGCGGTTTCTAACATCCTTTTTGTCGTCTCTGTATCAGGTCTTGTTTCTGCCGCGTATGTCATTATTGGTCTGATGACTGTTTTGTAAATTCTGCCTTTCACTTCTTTTCTGATATTTTTATTTCTCCGTATTGTTTCATTCAGGCAGCCTGCGGCTCTGTTTGCTCTTTCACTTCAGTTTCGAGCTTTCGAAAGGTACTTATTACTGGAAAGTGTTACGAATCTGGAAAACCAGTATATAGTAGTTGATGCTTATGGGCAAACAACACATCCAGCTAAATATTTCTTTCTTTTCAGAATTGAAGAATTTATTGACTGTTTCGCCTTTTTTTTTAAACAATGATGAAAATAATGTTTAAGTGTCATCGAGTGCTTTAGTTTGTGGACTAGTGCGCACTCCGATGCGCATCGCCCAGCCTCTAATCCTTTCTATTGGCGAATTGACCTAGAAATCTCTAAAATCGCTACAAGTTTTAAAATTTATAACAATAGCAACTTACCTAGCAGATTCAGGTACCAACCAAGGGGTAAATACAGCGATTACTAAAGGCGCAGATGTGGCATAGCAAAGCAATCTCCAGTCGGCTAAGTAATAGGCTATCCACGGCAATATAGAGGCAGCAAAAGTGAAGAATATCGCTATGGACATATTGGCTACGAAGGTCCTCCATTTTGGTCCGACATATTCCAAAACTGAAATACAATAAATAAATATATGTATATATCGCAGGCAACTATGAAATTATTGTAACGCTTTCTTCTCTTCGAATACGCTTTGGAAAAGCTTGTTGATTGAGATCACATCATCACGTTATATTATTCGTTCTATTTTTTTGTTAAACTGAGATTATCAAACTTCCATTTAGGTGTTCTTAATTCAGTAAATACATTGACCTTAATTTGCATAAATAACTTACCCAAGATATACATCATAGTAAAACAGTTGTCGAACGCCATTCCCACCAGAAATCTACAGACGCAGAATGCCCAGAACGAGTGACAGAAAGCGGTAGCGACTCCTCCCAACAGTCCAACCAAATTGCAACCCATAAGAGCAGGTATTCTTCCGAATCTGTCAGCCATCCATCCGAAGACGAGGCCACCTAGGATGGCGCCGCAGAAAAATATCGCCTGAGCTGTATTAGGTAGGGCGGAGTTCTCGCAGACCCAGTTTAACTAAAACAGTAGATCTCTTATGTTAAATACTTGAAAAGTAAAGAATTGTATGTAAAGTATGTAAAGCAAACATGGATAATAGGTAAAAGAATTACGAAACAAAGAACAGTATGATAGATATATCCACTTGGGCGTTATAGATTGAACAACAGAACTTTATACAATTACGTCACCATCTACTATTTGACTGAAACAAACGATTAAATGTTTATCAAACACATCGCATAAAAATTGTTATATTTAGTCTAACGTTGAACACAACAATTGCCCACCGAAATTTTCTTCTTCTTATCTCTGGCCCCTAGCTATTATCTTCGATTGTATTTTTTCCATCTTCTTAATTTGTCTTCAATTGTATGAAAATCTAGCATTCTATATCTACAACTATGCCTGTATTGCGATGTTTTATGATGTTTTTTGTGCATATGGAAATGGTCATGTTTGCATTGTAGTGTTTCTGCGTCAGCTATGATTCCTTTACTTATTTTATTTTTCTTAGTAAATTCTTAGGCAACTCATTATATTCATTTACGTTTCTACCTTTGAATTACTTTCGCTTTTCTATCATCTGCAATATTTCATCTATCATCCATTCTTGCTTCTTTTTCTTTTTTTGCGAAAGATTTTCATGCGAAAGTATGGTAGGGGAAACCGGGGGAATACCGCGCACGGGGGAATATCACGCATCAGAATCTTAGCAACACGGCGTAAGTATTGCAACATTCAACATAGTGCGCTGTCTCGTATTTGCTATTCTTTGTTTCAAGTTAAGAAAATAACATTACGCTTATGGAGATCAGTGTTGCCAAAACTCTCTTTTGCACGGATGTCCAAGATATTCCCTTTGCTTAATTTTTGAATTTTCATTTTCAATTAACATTTAACTGTAAAGTCAGAATAACTATTAAATAAAAGCCTTATTATCATTATGTAGTCAGAGAACGACATAAAATAGCTGACATACGCACATCGTATTATTTTAAGTTGCAATTAGTAATTATATATACGCATTCCAAGCGGTCAATATTTTCTACTGATTTCTATAATTCATGGCATATCGTATTCTCACCGAAAAACAAATAAACTGTCGTTACTATAATTAAAATAAGATAAAATAAAATTATCTTTTGTAAATACTATTTATCTAATTTCATTTTCCCTACTTTTCATCTCTTGTTTCGAATGGGCACTTTTGGTCAATTACGTTAAAAAACATTAATTTAATTCCAGGTTTGTGGAAACAAAAATACAAATTACACAACCCTAAATTGTACTTGTGTGTGTCGTGGCAACGCCGCGTTGCTATCGTCCATAAGAAATACATGGCCCCATCTCCGCTATGTTATTTTCTAAACGTGGAACGTAGTATAGCCGACCAACTGTTTGTAATATGACATATGACTGCATTCGTAGTATTGGTTTAGACAAGGTCACAGATTGTTTGTTTTTCAAGACTTTGATGTAATTTTGGACTAATCTTTAACAAGCGGTAAGTGCTTTTGTTATGTTATTAATTTTCATTAAAACTATTCACTGAATATTTTGCTTTGTATGTATAGATAATCTTACGTACAAAAATAATGCATTTTATTTAGTCATTAACGAACATTGATAAGTTAAGTTAGGTTACTCACTTAGGGGGAATACCGCGCAGTTGTGTCGCGGTAATTTTTGCTGATATAGTGTTTTTATTGCATTTTAGATTTCAAAATGCCCCGTGCTTAAGTTCGGAAAGATGAAAGATCAAATTGGACAAAAGATGAACTAAAAGCTGCGATCACTGCTATACGATCTGGGCGAAAAATACGAGAAGTAGGTCGATCATTAAATATTCCAGAATCCACTCTACGGGACAAACTAAAGTCAAATAGCCATAAAAAATAAAACTGGACAGGAAACCAATCATATCCACCATAGGAATCCACCATAGCCAACCATGTTAAAAAGTTACGAATATGTTTTTTGGAGTCACACCATCAAAACTAAGGCGTTTAGCATACCAGTTTGCTGAAGAGAATAAAATAAAACACCGTTTCAACTCGATAAAGAAATGAGAGGAGGCCCAATTGGAGCAATCTACAATGTTCAAAAAACGGTTGGATAAATGAAGAGTTAGTTTTCGACTGAATAAAAAATTTTTGTCAGCATATAAAGGCCTTGAAAGAAGATCCAGTGCTTCTCATATTGGATAACCATGGGAGTCACATTTCTTTGGAGATTTATACTTACTGCAGATCACACGGAATTGTTATGGTTTCACTTCCCCCTCATACCTCACACAGGCTTCAACCTCTTGACCTTTGAACTTGAACTTTTTTTGGGCCCGTAAAGAATGCTTTCAATCGTGAGTGCGACTTGTATCTGAGAACTCATACTCATGAGAAGATCACACATTTTGAACTTGCTTCCATTTTTAACAGAGCATATCTGAGAGTTGCCACGATGTACAAAGGACTATCCGGGTTCCGTGCTGCTGGAATATACCCATAGATCCTAATAAATTCTCTTAAGATGATTTCAGCTTAGTAGATCACACTGAATCTACAGAGAACTCCACCGAGAAATACCGAACCCCAACCGGGACCATCGAGATGTGATGAAACTATACAAGACTCCATCTTATAATGCCAAATTGAAATCAAACTAGCAAGCTGCACCTCAGCCTGGTACATCAGGAAATATTAAAACTCAGTCTAGTGTACCCATTGAAAAGCTAGCTCCTCTTCTTTCCAAATTTATAAAGAAAAGTTCCAAATGACGTGCAAAACAACAGAAATTTTCACTTCCATGCCACTAAAAACGCAATTAGAAATAAAACAAGAAAAGATAGATATTATTTGAAAAAAGCTGAAGAGGTCAAAAAATGAAACCAAGAAAAAAACGACAGGAACCGTAGGAAAATTGGCTACTAAAGCAAAGAAACGACCTGTACGCAAGAAAGATGGAGTTAGAAACTTACATTTTGATGATTCTGAGTCTGAAAGTTATGATGAGAGTAAGCTTTGTGATGAAGATGAATTAGATGATGTAGATCTAACATTAGAAAATAAGGAGTGTTTGGTGTGTGGTGAATTTGGACGAGACAAAGAAATTTGGTAACGTTGTGTAATGTGTTCGAATTGGGCTCATTCAGAATGCAGAGGTTGGAACTCAGCAGTTAAATATACATGCGATATGTGTGCCAAGGTCGAACGAAAGACAGTCAGAAAGTAAAATTATCTCTTTAATGTTTTTTTTTTAATTTTGTCTTTAAGAAATCTGTTTTGTTTACAATATTTGCTTTATTGCAATAAATTTTTTTTCGAATAAAGATTTATTTAATTCTGCGCACAATTACCCCCTACTTGGGGGAATAACGCGCAATGGCAGTTTTTTAAAGTAAATTTTTGTTCTTCAAAATCCGTTAAACTTTAATTCTATTTTTTATAGGTATAACGTTCCCAATAGATACAAGTTTCAGTAGTTAAATTATGGAAGATTGTTTGCACATAGGAAACTTTTTGTAAGTATTTTACCTTAGGTGCGCAGAATTCCCCCAGTTTTCTCTAATATAGATGTCTTCATTTCGTTCCACTGTTCTTGTATGTCTCTAGTAGGGTTTTCAATAATTTTCGCAAAATTCTTCTTAAGCTTTGATTTTACTTTTTTCAGGATGTTGTTTTTTTGAGTAATTTTATATCTATGTTGGGCCTTATTTTCTTATGAATTATTTTAATTCTGAAGATATCTGTTCTTGGATATATTTTTGCTGAGGTGGTAAAATTTCGAAATCTTTTGTTTACGTTAATAAGAGCAACTTGGTTTCTTTAATTCTCCTTGGGGCATCACTGAAAGCTTTGAGCTTTCCATGTATAAAGCCTTCTATGATGTAAAAAAAGTAATATGTGAGAACCACATCCGTTTCATGGCAGAATTGGATAAGACTTTCTCTCCTTTTAAGCTAGCGGAATGAGATTTCTTGGAAGAGTAAAAGGCATTACAACACTTAATAGATAAAAAAAGTGTAGACGTAAAACAAAAATTTAATATATATTCGTTCAATGAGAAAATAAAAGAATGCAGAACAAAACGCAAACAATGTGCTGTTTGGACATTGTTTGCATTTTGTGAATTTTTGACTGAATGAAATTGATTATTTGGTTAATATTTTTTCTACGTCTAATCGCATCGCCTTGTATAAACGAATAAATTACAGACCTCTGATGAAATTGAAGCGTACGGTACCACGCTGAAGTCGTACTCCCACCCATATTTGCAGGCTACCGTATTCCACCCAGGATCCGCTTCTTTCACTCCACTTCTGAGCATTTCCGTGAAGTTCACGTCATACATTCGGCATCTGTCATAGCCGCCGTGTCCTTCTGGTATGGCCAAGGCCAATCTATAACAAAAACGATCGATTAGTTATTAGAATTTAATAAACAAAGAGTGATGAATGATGAAAGTGGTTCCTGAACGGCCACGGTAGAATGAATAAATTATTTCGCGATAATATTAAACTGAATTGCATGGTAACGGTGCTTTGTGTGTTTATAATAATTATTTTTATTATAGTTATAACTAATTATTATAGTTACAAATGAGTGATATATTTAACAATTACTGCTGTTTATTTTTATCACTAATTCATGTTAAAAATGGTACTTTAGTAAAAATATATTTGTAATAATTCACACAAAATGCAAAAAACAATAAAATATCTTAATAACGTTCCGAGATATTCGAGGTTAAAATGGTTGGAAACAATACTGTACCTGTAATATTTTATTAAATGAAAAGCTTGAATATCTGCCATTAGTACGTTAAGTAGTCCATGAAAAGACTTATAAAGAAGGACTTATAGTTCATGGAAAGAAATAGAAGAAGAATACAGATCATGTACAGCTGGTTCCTAAAAAAACTGATACGATTTTTGGTAAGCTTGGTGAATTGATACGGTCAAGGTAATTTTCGTTGCAAAAGCGGTCAATCCAAAATATTTTGGCAGGTAACGTTGCACTTGCAATCAGACATTTACTTAAAAGCTAGAAATCTAAGGCAAGGTCGTAAATTAGTAACCACCCGAGTTATTAGCAGGCCCGGTCGACCCTATTGAAATATTTTAATCTGCTTATCTATATTTCGAACAATATGTAAGAAAATGCTCATTACGGATTTTTGGAAAGTTTGTATTTGCCTATTTATAAAGGTTGGGGGGAGAATTACCAAATTCTAAGTATAAAAACAAATACATATTATTTGTAGGTATATTGTTAGTTTGTGAGATTGTTTAGTACAGTACGTAACAACTTTTACAAACCTGCTCTTCACGCTGGATATCAGTAATGAAAATATAGGAAGAATAAGGAAGATGTTGTAACTTAGGTATGTGTAAAAGAACGTCATCACAACTGTAAAGGGAGGATGAAGACAAAACTGACGAAATTACTCGAAGTCAACCAACGAACCTGTGCCCCAGATGTAGCTCTCAGAAGCAAAAAAGGCTACGTACATTTAAAAAAAGAGAGCTCGAGAAGAAGACACTCCAACCCGACATTTAAAGGGAATAGTTCGAAAAACTATTTACAAAAGGACTCGATTTTGTGAGTGATTTTTGAACCTTTCAGTGGCTGATCCTCAGAAATTTTGGGGGGGTCTTGAGGGTGATTTTGACATAGGATTTATATTTTTGGCACCTTTACGATTGATATGATTTGTGCCTCATGTAAGGGAACCATTTTCTCAACAATTATTTTAAGCGATATATTAAACCAATGAGAAGTTAACCCAAATACCCTGCGGGTGCAAAGAAGGGTCAACATTAACGGTACAACATTAAGGTGTCTTAAACTTAAACAAAAACAAATAAATAAAACTCACAGTGAAACCAAGTGTACAAGACTATTAAACCAAAGGAAAGTTATTAAACTATAAATACTGAAAAATCAAGGACTGTCAATTAAGTATATAAACTAGGTATTTTAAAGACAATTAATTTAAACCCACCTGTCCTATGTCCTCAAGAACAAACCAAGGATAAATAAGTATAAACCAAAGTTTAGTAATTTAAATGCACTAACTGAATAAAGTGTAAACATTAATGAATATACTAAACGTTCCTAATACACTACAACTTATCGTTGGATATCCGATATCAATTTGTAAAAACATTCTGGATCGTTGTAAAAACATGATTGTATATTCTAGACCGAACATGTCACCAACATAGAGGTAATCCAAAGAATCGGAAAGGAGAAAGAAATCGTGAATACAATTAAACAAAGAAAGCTTGAATATCTAGGCCACATATTGAGACACGATAAGTACCGTCTACTGCAATTTGATTGTCCAGGAAAAATAGACAGTAAGCGAGGGCCACGCAGGAGAAGACACTCATGGCTCCAAAATCTACGGAAGTGGTTCGGGTTCACATCGGTCGAACTCATGGACGTATAAACACAGATGGACTCAGTTATTTACATAAAATTGTGAAGTCAAAATTATTTGAATAGGTCACATTCTCAGCACCTTCAACTGTTGTCACGTTTTGTTTTAAAATTTCTTATTCGCCAGTCGCTGAAAATATTACACCGTATTTTATACTCTACAGGTGCTATCAAACCAAAATAATAATTTATTGGTTAGATTAATATATTTAATTGTAATCAAAATATAAAGTGTGCACATAGTGTGCATTATCATTTAATAATAGCGTATAATAGATATCAATCAATTATTTTATATGTAGAAGCACTGAAAACTATTTATAAATGGCAACGGTTGTTTACATTTCTCTGTCTTATGGATCTACGTCAAACTTCAAATGCTGTTCCATGTTTGTTTACTTTTTAGTAAAAGTTGTTTTTCGATATTTTGGGTGTATTTTGAGTGATATTTGTGAAAAGTGAAATAAAATAAACGAAATATTTACATCCCGATCTCTCATTTCATTTGTAAGTACATACAATTTACATTATTTAAGATGAGGAAATGAGGAAGCGTGTTTGTTTACATTTTAATAGGCGTACCATTGGGTTTATTCATGTTCATTAATGTATTGAATAAGATATAAGTTCATGAAATTAGTAGACATTTTTAAATTGTAAGTAGACATCATCTGATTAAAAAATATCTGTTTAGTACCTTTTTAAACGTGTTTTTATACATTATTACTACTTCCAATTTTTAAAATCTGAATAATTACCCGCGATTAATAATTCAAGCACGCTTATGCTCATTGCGGAAGCATCACATTCTATGGAAGCTTCAAAACATTGTGTGTTAAAGGTATCTTATTGCTGTGTCCATCTATGTTTATACGTCCATGGTCGAACTATTCAGAAGCGCCGCAAACAAGATCAGAATTGCCACGTTAATAGCCAACGTTCGCAACGGACAGAGCACTTGAAGAAGAATAAGAAAAACTTTCATTTATTCCGCATTGCTATACAGAGTGGAAACATGGACTCTCGGAATTACAAGTATGAACCGTATAGAAGCATTTGAAATGTGTGTTTGCCAAGGAGGCTGAAGATTTTGTGGACAGGGCACGTGATAACAAGGTGCTGAGAAGAATGAGGACTGGAGAGACTGAGAAGGACCTAGTCCTTCCTATACTAACATATGGGTCCCTTGCATGGGGACACTTATGCAACACCACAAAAAAGAAAATCCAAGCGACACACAACAAAAGCCTAAGAGAAGCAGTCAACATACCAAAATACGTAGCGGAAAGATTCCTCTTTAGAGAACTACAAAAAATCAGAGTGACTGACACAATGAATGAAAAAGCTAGGATAAAGTTCGCAGAGTTAGAGAACCACCCCAGTCACATACTGCGAGAGATAATGAGGTATCACGCTTTTCATAGATGGAAGCACAAAAGACCTAAACAACAAATAGTAGACTAAAACAAAATCCCAGAGAGAGAACTAAAAAACACCCCAGAGGGATAACAAAACCCCAGAGAGAGAAAAAACCCTAGAAAGACAGCACAATGAAGACAGTTCGTAGCTCAAAAACACCCAGGACATCGCCAAACACAGAGTGGGCCCGGTTGCCTAAATGAGGATAAACTCTATATTGTCGTATTGTTTTATATTTTATATATTTTTCAGTATTATAGTATAGATTCTACACTAATTCTGATTTTTTGTTTTAGGGCCACCTACAAAAAACACAAAAACCGGCTTTGGCCACCAAAAAATTTACAAAATTACTAACAGAAACCGGCGAAAGCCACCAAAAAAATTAACAAAACCCCAAAACCCAGGCACGTAGGGCCCAACCCCTTGAGCACCAAGTCGCCGAACTGAGCCGGGGCTTAGAGCGGAGACTTGAGACCCAAGTAAGCAATTTTAGTTCGCGGATAAGCCACATTAAGATAACAGGAATATAGCGACAATGCGCTGTACTGAGTTTTTGCAATCGGTTAGGAAACAATGTTGGGGTTCTATTACCCAGGACCTCCATATGAAGAGCATTTGGCTGATAGTTGTGCCTCTAGAGCGCATCAGAGTCCTATAGGGGGGAAAGGGATGGTCTCGAGTATTGGAGCGTGGTGGGGTGACTCCTGCTTTTACACGAGTTAACACACCTCGGTCCAATGAATTGTTACACCCGATCGTAATTCTAAGGGGTGAACATTTCTCACTGGCTGGGTTCAATTAAATTGCTTGCTTACTTGTTTATTCATTTGTGAAAATATTTCAAAGTGTTTATATTGTTACAATCTTGAAGAATTGTGTTATGAAAATAATTTATTCTTAAAATGTTATGGAGAATTTCGACGGAAAAAATTTCTCTTTTATTCATGAATAACAATAAATTCAATTTTGCCGAAAAGTTAAAAAGTGGAAATCACGCTGGAGATGTCGTACCAAAGGTTGTTACGTTGCCGTCTACACAATTGGGGATGATGTAGTAATTTCTAGACAAAACTTAAATCATTCTCATGAAAGTCTGGAGGCCAACTGCATTCAACAACAGTTTGTAAGAGTAGCAGCTAAGCTTAAAGCTGCAGAAGATATAAGTACTCGACCCAGAAAAATTTTACATCGCGTTTTAAGTGAAGAAGAAAATACCAGTTTAACTATTATGAATTTGAAGTCAGTGAAACGAAGTATTTATGTATAATGTAAGAAGAAAATTGCTCTCAGTTTCACCAAAAACGTTAAAAGAAGTACTGGAATCATTGGAAAAATTAGAGGACCCTATCATCACATCTAGATAAGACGTGATGACATTGTCCTTTTTATTGGTAAATGATAAGAGTGCAAAATTGACTATAAAATCTTGTGAGACAAATCTCTGACATTTATGTAAGTGTTCTAGAATAAATATGGAAGGTACATTTAAATATTGCCCAAAATTCTATTATCCAATGTTTACAATTTATGGATA